AGCGCTATTTATGCAATAGCGAAAATCAGACCTGAAAAAAATCAGGCCTGTACGGGATTCGAACCACTGACCTCTGCGATACTAGTGCAGCGCTCTACCACTTGAGTTAACAAGCCAACTGGGAGCAGGCCGTTAAGTTGATTCGTAATAAACCCGTGATGATAAATCAGATACAATGGATATATGAAGTTCATATATTTTGAACCGCGGTATTAGATACGTATGATGCACGACCCTCGCAGTAGAGAGGGTCGTGCATCATACGTGAGTCGGGTATATCTATAGAGACCACGGTGAGTAACGAACGTTGTCACATGTCTACTCTCCTCAGCTAGAAAAGTATCTGATGAAATCCCCACTTCAGATCTGCACGACTGAATACTGTGTTACCATTAAGATCTTGAAGCACCTCCTCTATTGTAGGGATAGGCTAACGTTCCCTCACTATTGCCTGATTGGCACACTTCATGTCTACACAAATCCTGATATCTCCGTCTGCCTTGGGTATAACCACAAGTGGTGAGACCCACCCTGTTGGGCCTTCACGAACCTCCTCTATAATACCACTCTCCAACAATGTATCTAGCTTTCTCTCGACTTTCTCTCGTACATCAAATCCACAGCCACTGGGGCCGACACTCCACTACTTGTGCTCGCCGAACTGCCATTTCCCTCACTTGATTCTCCACCGGGCATTGTAAAGAAGTATGTCCCCTCCAAACACAAAATGGTAAAAGAAACTAGCACAAAGACATTCCTCACCATCCCATCTTCGTCGCCAGATGTGATATTTGGATATACGGCAATAAACACCTTCGATGTTCTTTGATTTCAATATTTTAATCCACACACTATCCACATGGCAGCCAACGAGTACCACAACAACAACTTTCGCTAGGCATCATGGGATGCCTACAAACACAACCGTTTCACACTTCCGGTATAACACACTACAAGAACTACCTTGGAAGAAGGTGGGTGGGAAAGCTGTAAGCTCTGCTCTGTAAACTGCTTGATCCCAACTGTAAAACTGGTGGTCTTTCAGTCTCTTATCGTCTAGATTTATAGCACTAGTATTTAAATCCAACCAGAGGATCTGTTATATGATCAACAGCCTCTATTTGGCGCAAATATATCAACACATATTTGTCCGCCGGCGGAAATTATATGTTCCGAAATGCGAACAGTTTTCCAAGAGGGAAGCTCGAGGAAAAGTGTGAGCTTCGAGTCAGTGAAGCTAGGAATTTAGGTATCTGGTTCGATTCTAATTTCCAGTTTCGCCGCCATGTAAACAAAACATGTCAATCAGCTTTCTTTTCGCTATATAACATAAGGCCTATAAGGAAATATCTGCCCTTTGAAGCTGCAAAGTCATTAGTGCAAGCTTTTGTTATAAGCAGAATCGACTACTGTAATGCAATATTATATGGTTTATATGAGTCTTACAGCCATTAACATCACGGCAAAACCAACCGATCATTTCACACGAACTGGAATAAGAACATTCTACTGACAACGATCATTCACTTGACTCTGATGATGACTTCCGCACAGGTTGTCGAAACGTCAGTCACTACCACCGACAACAGTCCTTCTCAGGACTACACTCACCCGGACGATCAGACTACACCTTCACATTATATGGTTTGCCTGCTATACACGTTAATAAGTTACAACGCGTTCAAAACGTTGCCGCCAGGTTACTGACCAATACACCGCGTTACTCGTGCATATTACACCTGTGGTGATTAATCTCCATTGGCTGCCAGTTAAATTTAGGATCATTTTTAAGGTATATTTGTTGACTTTTAAAGCTCTCCATGGCCTAGCGCTAGCATATCTTGGTGATATTATATCATTCAAGGGAGATTCTAATTATAATTTAAGATCAAATTTTAGTAATTTATTAGCCCAGCAATTAGATCTGCCAAGACCATTGGGGACAGTGCTTTTTTGGTAGCTGCCCCATTTTTTTGGAACTCTCTTCCGGAAAGTCTAAGGGCGGCAGGTAATGTAAATATTTTTAAGAAACAATTGAAAACGTATCTTTTTAAACAAGCATGCTGTTAATTGCGTGAACATTTTTTAGACTACGTACTATACAGGATTTTTTATCGCTTTTTAATTTATTGTTAGAATATAATTTTGTTTTCATTTTGTAATTTAACTATCATATTCTCCGCGGTTTTTTTTAGATATTTTTTAGCTTATTGTAAAGCGCATTAGATCATATACTTATAATGAATTTTGCGCTATATAAGTGTTAAATTTATTCATTAATTTAGTACTTCGAGGTAAAACCAAACAAATCACAATAGCCAAGCAGAAGAAAAAAAACATCTCTTCAAGGAATTGCTCTACTTTTTATTTCAAACCTTGTTTGCACATCGAATCTCGCTGAGAAGTTCAATGGCAGCAAGACGATTACTCACAATTAGAGAATCTCAGCTTTTACTTTGTTGGATGTTGATAGTTAAACCTTAGGGATTCACTGACGTCGGTAAATGTACAAATGACACTCCTCTAAATGTTCTTCTCGCAGGTAGGGAATCTTCTCCTTGAGAACAAGTCGCCATTTTCCTTTATTTTCCAACTCATTGAGTTTTTCTTCATAAGATTTTTCTTCAACGAGACTTATATTGAAGCACAGAACCCCCCCTGCAAAAGAAATCATGGGTTGAAAAAAAATAAATATCACTAAAAATTTTCAACTCTAAATGTTGCATTTCGATTGTTCTGATTGGCTCACTCAACTCCGGTTATCAGCTTATACTCCGCGTCATCTTACATGGAAATACATCACATTTAACAAATGGTAAACACCACAGCGTACACTATTGAGTTATGGATGCACGCGGGAGGTTGCTAAGCACGAAAGAAGCGTAAGAGTCGCGCGAGGCGATAGCCGAGAGCGACTCTAGCTTCTGTGGTGTTTACCATTTGTTTTATAACATAACATTGATACATTGTAGCTAAAGAGTTCCCTTTTATTTAACAAATCTTACGTGACCAGAAAAAACAAGCGCGCGCGGAAAAATAGTCTTTGCATTTGCTCACGTCAGCAGCGTACACCCATGGGCAAATGGGGGACGCTAAATTGACCAATCAGAGCGCGCGCTTTACTTTGGTTATGTTATAATTTTCTTTTTAGCCTGTGTAACGTAGAAAATGANCTTGAGAACAAGTCGCCATTTTCCTTTATTTTCCAACTCATTGAGTTTTTCTTCATAAGATTTTTCTTCAACGAGACTTATATTGAAGCACAGAACCCCCCCTGCAAAAGAAATCATGGGTTGAAAAAAAATAAATATCACTAAAAATTTTCAACTCTAAATGTTGCATTTCGATTGTTCTGATTGGCTCACTCAACTCCGGTTATCAGCTTATACTCCGCGTCATCTTACATGGAAATACATCACATTTAACAAATGGTAAACACCACAGCGTACACTATTGAGTTATGGATGCACGCGGGAGGTTGCTAAGCACGAAAGAAGCGTAAGAGTCGCGCGAGGCGATAGCCGAGAGCGACTCTAGCTTCTTGAGTGCTTAGCAAACCTCCCAAGTGCATCCATAACTCAATAGTGTACGCTGTGGTGTTTACCATTTGTTTTATAACATAACATTGATACATTGTAGCTAAAGAGTTCCCTTTAATTTAACAAATCGTACGTGACCAGAAAAAACAAGCGCGCGCGGAAAAATAGTCTTTGCATTTGCTCACGTCAGCAGCGTACACCCATGGGCAAATGGGGGACGCTAAATTGACCAATCAGAGCGCGCGCTTTACTTGGGTTATGTTATAAAAACTGTTGCAGAGCTGAAAAAGAGGCTCCATATATCATTCAAACGTTCAGGATTTCAGAAAAATTAATAAACAATTATTCCTTTCGCGCTTGTCGGATACGAGATTGGTTATAGCCAACTCGGCGCTCTGTGCCTCGTTGGCTAATTGTTGAATATCCAGAGAGTTTTGGCAAGGATTGTAGACTAGCATTCTTCTAAATCTTTGTTCGTAAAAGATAGCATCAAATATGATAATTACAAAGTCAAAGAGAAGAATTTAGGTAAAAGTTATGATGATTCAACATTTCAAGTTAAAATCACTTGACCGTTACAGCTTACGGTACAGTCAACCCCGTACTCAAACATAAGAAAGAAGCGAAGCCTTTAAGAAAGGGGAACATTCTCCTTATCCGCTCATACCTGGTTTTACAATTTCTATCATCTCCTCAAATGCACTGGGTCGGACATGCGTAGTGCATACTGCCGAGCTGCATGTCAATGCATCATACTCTGCGGTCTCGATACCGTTTATCCGCTGATCAGTCATGGCGGCGCAGATACATTTTTTGTAGATATTTTTATTCCTAGCTCTGTTTAGCATTTCTTGCGACATATCAAGGGCATCAATATTTTGATATCCAAGTTTGTTTAATTCTAACCCCAACAGGCCTGTTCCAGCTGCCACGTCAAGAACCTTAAAATTTTTCTTGTCGATATTTGGAAACAGCTTGCCCCTTGTAGCGTCGAACTGCCTGGCAAATGGTCGAGGTACATGGTAGTTGGGTTCTTGCATACTCTGATGGAAATTAAAAAAAATTGTGTCAGTCACAGATTGATTTTTGTTGTTGTTGTTGTTGTTGTTGAGATCTCGAGCCTAAAAATAAGTGCAACACTGTTTAGACTGAGACGACCGAACTGGCGTAACGCGCATGCTCACACACCTTTCAACGTTAAAATAAAGCCATGATCCCCGCAGGTGACTTGCAATTTAAGCAATTGCAGAAAAGAAGCTTAAAAATAATTCAGGCTTCGACGGAATTCGAACCCGTGCCTACTGGATACAAGGATGGCGCTTCTACCACCTGAGCCACAAAGCTACACAAGGCCTTTTCCCTTACTTGAGAATGGGGCAGCAAAAGAGCCCCACCCCAGAGAAAGGGGAAAGGCGCTGGAAACGAGGTTGACAGTTGGGAAAACTTAAAAAACACGGGTCCGTACCTATCCTAAAATAGCTCTGTTAAGCAGAGTTTACAATGGCAAAAGTTGGAGGTCCGTTAGTCCATACTTGACGGGTTCCTACCCGAATCTATCTTTTAAACAGCCTATTAATTACTTGATCATAATTTTCGGCCCACTCATCGTATTCCCGAATGACATCATCCTGCGAGGAGTCAGTGGTGAGAAGCCAAAGTCGATCTTGATAATACTTGAAAATCTGTTAAGGAAAAGTTTAAATGTGTGAGTAATTCAAAGGGGTGATCAGCAGATATGAAATACATCGATTTAGGCGAGGTGCAAGATTCGTTATAAGTCTTGATACCTGATGAAGAAAAAAGATGAAAATCTTATGTCATCTGCCTTGAAAAACTCCCTTAATCTACGATAACTGGCGAACTGTCACAGTGTGGATGGGGCCTACGTCGACTTTTCAACTCGCGGAATTCTTCCACTAAAAAACAAAATGATTTTTGGTATCGTTTGATATTTATGATAAATCATTTGATACTCTTACAGTCAAACTAAGTGAAGCGTACCCCTCAGGATTACATTAATGATTCGATTATTTGAATATTGAACCCGCTAATCGTTTTAGGAGCGCAATAACGGAATATTTGAACATGGAACCCGCTAACCGTTTCAAGAATGCAATAATGGATTGATTATTTGAATATTAAACCCGATAGCCTTATTCGCTTTGAAAAGGCGCGGATCATTGTTCAAATCAGAAGTCCATTTCTGACTGGATTATGCGAACACGTGATGATGGATCGGAACTATTTCAACATGGCGTCAGACATGGGTGGAAAGCTGAGTTTGAGTGTTGTGTAGAATTCCTTGTAAATGGAATGTTATCGAGAGCTTTTTTCGCCTATTTACATCTTAACGAACTTGTAGAAATTCTTGTGTGTATTTATGGTCGAAAAAATAGTTTACGGGCGAAGCGTGTCGAAGGCAGCGTGGTTGAGTGGTCAACGTGTCGGACTTGCGATCCACCGCTCCCGGGTTCCAGTCCTGCCCTGGCCACTTCTTAGATTTGTTTCACGGTAGCCCCGAGTTTCAAATCCTCGGCCATGCTTGTAATATAGCCAACTGGTTTGCCATCGGCCAGTTGGGATTCTTAGTAATGTTATTTTCAATTTGAATTATTTATTTCAGTTGTTTGGTGGAAAATCTGTAAGCTAGCTTCTAGCTAAGTGTTTCTTCACGGTTAAAAACTGTTTATTTATTTATTTATTTTTATTTTTAAGCCATCGCAAGAATTTTTTTATTTCGTTAAAATTTGCGATCGACTGTTTTCGCAGTGTTTTTACAGTGCAGTTTGTTCATTTTCAGGATTCCTCATCAAATAAAACAATCTTATTGGACTTCAGAAATGGACTTCTAATTTGAACAATGATCCACGTCTTTTCAAAACGGATACGGCTACCGGGATCAATATTCAAATAATCAATCCATTATTGCATTCGTGAAACGGCTAGCGGGTTTAATAACCAAATAATCAATTCATTATTGCATTCTTGAAACGAATGGCGGGTTCAATATCCAAATGATCAATTCATTAATGTAATCTTGAGGGGTACGCTTCACTTAGTTTGACTGTAAGCAGTTTGAAAGAACTCTCCTACATATTCTGTGAAAATTTCTGACCGGGGTTACCAGTCGTTTCCTTATTATTCAAAGAGGAAAAATCACCCTTACCTGAGGGTCTTGATGGTCGTTTTCTTATCATTCAAAGGGGGGAAAAATTACCCTTACCCGAGGGTCTCAATGGGGTTATGGCTTTTGCGCCTTACAATTCATTTCTTTCTACTGTGATTATGACTAATGGTTAAAATATTACAAACTCCTTACGGTGACCAATTTACATTATCAATTGAACTCAGTTTAGATAAAACCTAATTGTAATTGACTCTTTACTAACTTGTCGTACGCATTTACATCTGTTCACCTGGGTTTTGATTGTCTCATAAATGTTTGGACAGGTAGGAACTGACACAAACTGGGTACGAATCGACGGCGTGTACTAAAACCCGAAACAGCGAAACGACTCGACCGAAACAAAACAACCGAAACAAGCGACACGAAACCATCGTAACGACTAAAACGAAACGACCGAAACGAAACAACCGAAACTAAACAACCCTAACCACCAAAACGAAACCACCGTAACAACCAACAAACCACTACAACCAAGAAGAGCAGACGATGAAATGCCAAGGAAAATGAAGATTTCACTTCAGATATTCCTCTCCCATTTAAGGCCTTTAATGAATATTAAGGCCTTCTCACGAAACTGAATATTTTTCTGCCATACGAGCAGTTGAAATTATAATTTGATACGAATAGTAGTTTCCAGGACGGAGCGCCATATCGAATACCAAAGCGTATACGGAAAGGAGAGCAAGAAACAGGCAAGGGTATTCATTAACAACTTCTATGTCCGTGACTTTCTTATTGATTTCTTTTAAATCAAGATTTCTTCGACGCCTTAGGATGTCGGTCAGGGTTCACCTCGCGGAGGTTTGTTTCCGGGAATTCGCTTCTTGCGCATACCCATAATACCTTGCTCCTTGGGGGGTAACCGGGATAAAAAGACCTGGCGTCTTGTGCTTCGAAAAGTAAGGGAGGAATGACACTAAGTACATCTAACAATCAGGTCTGACTAGCAATCAAATTTAATGAGCTTTTGGCTCCAATAATCTTAAAACTAGTTATTTTAGGAATTTTCTGAAGCTCAAGATGCATTATCTCTAAGAACAAAGTACTTAATAGTACATATGCGGTCAATGTGAACGCACATAACATTGGTACGATGACGGAAGTGCAGAACAATGATATTTTGGGGGTGGGAGAAGCCATACTTCTAGAAGTAAAGGAGCAACTCATGTTATCAACCTTTTTGCAATAGATTATTGAGGGAAAACAGTCAATCAAATTGCTGCTATCAGAATTCTATCATTAAATGCTGATGTAAAACCGTTTTCTCTATCCGTTGCTGTTGGCAGCAACAAAAACAAAGCGTATCTTATTCCATCATTAAAACCTTAATTCTACAATTGCTAACCCTCATGTACCCAACCTGTGCACATCATACTAGAAGTTTCTGTTTTCGATGAAATATTGCTATGAAATGTGTCAAAAAGATCGGTTGAGTGTGCACAGGTTAATGCAGGTTAACGCAGGTTAACACAGGTTACATCGATTTGCTTCCCCTAAAGATGAATAATGGTCTACGTTTTGGGCGTTCGGCTGTAGGCGTTCGATATGTTAAGTTTCTTTGTTAACTTAATAACCTAGACTGATGAAAATAACCCAATATGTTTAGTAAAACTGAATTATTATCCAACTACACTTCGTAGTGTACAAATAAAGCCATAGACGAGTACAAATATCACGCGGTATTTGTACTCTAGAGTACCGGTTAAACAGGTTTTTTCGCATTGCGCAAGCGAAGAATTGGATTGTAATTGCTAAGAAAACAAATGGCGGACAATTTGAATCATATTTCCGACGACAAAGAGTCAGAATGGCTGGCAAATATAGATCTGAGTTTATTAGATGAATCGAACGAAGAAAAAAAGCTAGACGACCAGGAAATTTCTTCATTTATTGAAGAAAACAGAA